GAGTACTTGGTCATAGTAACAACTTTAAACTCGATCTCTACTTTCAAAGTGTCTTCATTGTCCAAATATAGCTTTCGAAGATTAGTTAAAGATACTAAGTGATCATAACCATACCCCTTTCCTGCTATTTCGAGCCACCAATTAACTGCAATATAAAAATGTGTAATGCAATAGGTTATAAGATATAAGAGCATGTAATCATATGAGGAGTTGCCAAGAAAAAAAATTTAAAATAATCCAATTCTCATGAACCTGCCACTCCCGAACTCTCTCTAGTGAATCTTTTTTGGCGAATTCATCCTTGTTTTGTGAGATCCACGACATGTGGCGGTCCGCGATTGATTCAATTATTATTTATTTATTTTTAAATCAAACAGAAAAAAATTAATAATAAAAAATAAAAAAATTGAATCCCAAAAGGGGTTCACTAATGTACACGCTCTAAGCTCGTGTTAATTTACGGAAAGCTCATAATAAGAATGTAAGTTCCAGTATTTCACAACATACAATTGCGCGCCAGATGATTGGATCCAAGTGGGTCTTCAACAATCAGATCTGTTTCAAAGTAAATCTTCTCATCTTCCTTTAAAATTTCACCAACATCTGGGTACAGAAATATGGATACCCATTTATCATTTGGTGTAGAGTATCCCTTGGGATACAAGTTTACTAACCTACACAATTTTATTAGGCACTTGTTAATCTCTTATCTATACAAGCTCTCATAACTTTATATATAGTAGACAGAACTACGCATTTGTAAGTTTACCATTTCCTTCCTCCGATTAAAAAATTGTTTGATTCAAGAGGATTCTCTTTTATCTTAGAGAAATTTTCAACACTCCAAGAGAACTTGGGAAAAGGAAGTTTCTCACCAAAAGAGACGATCTCCCATTTGGTTGGAGGTGGAATAACAAGGATATCAACACCAAACTCACAAACGTCTGCATTTACGTTTGTTATTTAGGAAATTTTATTTTTAATTACTCAAATTTAATAGGCATATATTAAATAATTTAGTGTATGAAATATAGAAACCCAAAATCCAATTTAAAAATATACATGGTTGTACTAATAAATTTGAAAGGAAATTATTAAGTTAATATACATTAACTATTTTTATTTTCAAAATGCCCCATAATAATTACCAAATTATAGGTTTGACATTTATAATTTTGAGAATATTAAGTCAAATATAATTTCAAGATGTAAACATATATTTTGTAAGTAGTTTTTAAAAAAAAATATTTTTTTCAAAGATTTTATCAATTTTCTTAAGGCAAGAATATATTATTGAATTAAAAATGGATTGCAATCAAATATTACTTGAGATATACTAATATCGTATGCCATCGATTCAAAATTTTAAGAAAATTTATTTTGATAAAATTCAAATTTTAAGAAGTTGTAATCTAGATTTTAAACGTGTTCTTATATTTTAGAAATGAAAATATTAACTAACAAAAGTAATATATAGCCAATATATTAATTTAACATTCTTTATATTATATTAAAGTTGGCTGGTTTGTTAATGCAGATCATCATATTAAAGTTGTAAAAAGGATAATAGTTTGTGAATATTTAGATCCTGAATAAAGATTTTTAATGTTGCATTTTGAAAATATATTTTCTAAACGTAAAGAATAACTAACAAAAATATATTTTCTCAACTGAATGTAGATCACAAATAAAAAAATAAAAAATATATATATATATATATATGTATATATATTATGCTATATTTAATATTTGATTTTGTAACAAACATTAAGTTCGGAAAATTAGTATATAATATTAAATTTCAATATGGATACGGGTATAAAGTAATTTTGGTTTGTCCAAAAAATGCAATACAGGCTTGAAATAAAAAATCAAGTTAGCATACGGGTATAAAGTAATTTTTATTTTAAAATGTCTCAGACAAATTTTTTATGTTTCTAAATATATTAACAATGGTTGTACCTCAAATTTCTACTTGAGAAAGATTGTATATTTAACAATTAAATGAGCCATTTTCTTTTAGTTTTGTGATTAATTCCTAAAATCATTTAGTTACAAAATTTCACTATCTAGTATACTTTTTAAAATTAATGCAGATTTTAATTTATTATTATCATCAATATCTATGTAAATGTATTGTATATAATTGTGTAGTTTTATTTGGGAAAAATAATATCAGTTAGCTACGCCTGATGTTGGGAAGCGGGTCAAACTCGCTTCGTTCGACCCGCTCTGCATCGGGTTGAGTCATTTTTACGACTCAAAAAATTTGACTCGCCTGACCCGCAAAGAAAATATAGTTTTGCAAGAATACTTTTATAAAATTTGAAAGAGATTCAACCCATTAATGAAACCTATTATTATAACTTTTTTAAGCTCAGATAAAAATGAAAAAATATCATTAATGATAAATTAAATTTGTATATAAGATATAAAGGTATAATTAGAAAACATAAAAAATCTATTAAACATAATGTTTATGTTTTAATGGTATTGATTTTAATTTGGTGCTTGTGCCAAATATAAAACATAGTACAATAATCATCAAATATAGATAATGCTACTTAATTATAATCTCACGCCTTAAGATGAAAAAATTAAATTGAGTTAGGGTGGTTAGGAGTGAAAGTAGGAACAGATTAAATTAATGTTAGTGTTATTATAATGTAAATACCTTAAAAAATTGTCTAAGGAATATTTTATAATTAGACACAACATGTTCAATAGGCTCAAAAATAAAACATACCATGTAAAATTTGAAATAGGACTCTAAATTAATAGATTAGATATATTGTAACACATTTTTTTGTGGATTTCGATGCATTTATTTATTGGTGCACACTTTCATTAAACTCAATTTTTACAAATACAATAGAAAGAGGAAATTAGACATTCTTATCAATATAAAAATAAATATTTTTTTATCCATTTTCATTTTAAATGTTATTGTAGACTCTAAAGTTTATTTCATATTAAGTATCATTTTATATTTTAAATGCATATATATGTTCCATAGTCTTCTATTTTATCCTTATTTTTCAGTTAGTTTATTAACAAAACTAAATAAAACAGTGAACTAGATGTACAATAAAAAATAATAAATTTTAATATATGTGTAAAAATCTTAAAAGGTATATAAAATGAAACAACAGGATTAATAGAAAAAGAAATAAGAAAATATAGGTTTTTTAAAAGAAGATGGAAGATAATTTCTCAAAAGAACTAGAGACATCTGACTACGTCTAGTATAGCTTTTGCGACAAAATCAGACAAATATGGAATCACATAAAAGTCGTGACATTGAAAGCCAATCTTCATCTACAAGAAAAATCATAATAATCTTGATTATATCTTCAGGCTCATATAGACCGCTCCACAAGATGACACCGGCGAGTAAACTGAAACTATTACCAGGAAAATAATTCGAGAAGATTTATTCTTCCATAAACTTTTTATTGATTTAAAAGTAGACAACAGGTTTTAAGAACTCTATTTTTCATAACAATATGGCTTTTTATCTTAAATAATATGAGGGTGTGGAAATGATGAAGCAAGTGTTTAATCATCTGAAGTTTGTTTTGTTTTCCATTTCTTAGAATGTCTTTTTCATCACAATGTGTTTTTTTCATTCTTATCAATGTACTGGTTTTTGAAAAAAAAATTTAAATTTCTTATGGATGTGTCTTATCATCCTCTAAATTTTGTTGATTTTAAAATAGTTATCTTTTCATCTAAATATGTTTTCATTATATATATATTAATTTAGTTTTTAAACGATTGTCAAAATGTTTATAATTGTGTGTTATGAAGGTAATATCTAGAAATTTTACTATTTGTGACTGATGGTGATGTATATAAAGAATTAAGAGGATATGTTCTTTATAAATTAAATGAGGAGTAAAATATGGTGTAAACTAAAAGAGGTGTGTAAAAAGATACGTTGAAAAATAATATGTATTTTGCTAGAATGGTTTCATGATATCAGATTTTTATAAAAAAAAAAAAAAATTTGTCCGTTAGACTACAAAATTATGATAAACTCAACCGTTGGATTAAATTATTTTTCCTATAAAAATGATCACATAGCAGAAAACAAAACATGTATGTTATAATACATTTTTTCATTATTTTCAAAAATAAAAATAAAGAAAATATACGTTGTACTATTGTGATAAATCACTCAACAAAAATTAATATTCTATGTACAATTTTGTTTTATTTATTTATTATAGTTTATTTAATATTTATTATTTCAGAAATTTTGTAGTCTTAATATTCTATCAATATAAGTTATGAAACTAATAAAATGGTGTAGTATTATACATTTGTTTGGATACAAAAGAAAGTGTAAGGCAAAATCATTTATATTTGGTATCAAAAGGAAATGTTATTTATGTCTAAAAAACAGCTGTCCACACAAAGTGTTATTCTATGTAACTGAAACGTCGACTGATAACGACTGCTTTTGACCGTTAATATTTTAACTTTAAAAACTGTTACTTGGTGTTATAAGTTATGGAGACAATAATGACTATTATTATATACCTGAAAATTACTATTAAATAAAATATGTTAAGTGCCACTAATTTAAATTATAGATTTACCATTTTTAATATAAGTTATGAATTAAAAAAAAACTTTTGTTTTAGATATTAAAAATAAAATTTTGAAAAATTGTAAGCAATATGGATATTAAATAACAAGTACTAAAAATTAATATTCTTATAATATAATTGATAAATTTATACAAAGATTTTAGTAGTGATGGAAAAATTAAAAAAAAAATTATTATTATTATTAATAGTAAGTAAAAGAAAGTTTGATTTTCAAAGCAATGAAAGTCTCGACGACACCAATAGCAAACCAACTCTGAAAAAAACAACAAACTATGAAAGAAAAGAAATACATCATACTAAGAAGAAATGAGGATAACATCAAACATTTTTTTTTTAATCTCGGGACTCCACTGGATCATATAGAAATGATCAGCCACAATCAGATCAGAAGTGAGGTGGATGGCCATCTTGATGACGTTCATTTTCGGAGATGCCTTCATCTCTAAAACCCAGATTTTGGTTTTGGTTCTGGTTCTGGTACTGATGGGGGAAAACTTGGAAAAATTTGGAAATCTCATCTGTAACAACTTTTTTCAAGTTCTCCACTCCAACTAATAATTCTTGGCAATGAGCCAAGTCAATTTCTTCGACAGGATTTTCCCACCAATTCTCAGGTCTTTTAGAATTTTTTCTTTTTTTCTTTGGTTCTTCATTTTTCTTTTTTGATGTTTCCAAATCATCCATCACCTGCAAATATAAAATAACTTATTTTCAAATAAATGTGTAAAAGATCAAATTTGGTATCATCTTAAATCAATTCCTCAAAAAAAAAACATATATACCTATGTTAAGAGCCTTTAAATAGCACAATACCAACAAATATATAAATTATGACATCAATTTCTACAGTATTACATGCCAATATACAATTATATTCTATATACAGAGAAACACACATATTCACCGTATCATATATTAGTTATTTGTTAAAACTAACATGTAGATACATATTAAAAGTATTGAATACAACATCATGGTTTTTATGATTTATATAAAAGATTATAATATTGAACAGCACGATAAGAAGTCACCTGAGTAAGAAAGTCGTTCATTTGTTGAATTGGAGTATGGGGCTGCACTTCACTAAGTCGCATGTTGTTGTTTGGATTAGGAAATGGCTGGTTAATATGTTTAAATCTGTTAACCATGGTTTCAACATTTGGATGACCAAAAGAATAGACTTTTCCACCGGGTGAGAACACAATAACGGCAATATCTGCACCACAAAGTGTATTAAGCTCACTAGCTTTTTTGAAAAGACCGGATCTTCTTTTGGAGAAAGTAACTTGAAGGTTTCTCTCATTTTCCATCTTGGCCATTTTGATCCTTTGACGACCCCTACTTTTTTTTTCCATGTTTCTTTCCATGTTTCCTTCCATGTTATTTTCCATGTTGTTTGCCATGTTTTTAGTATTTGGAAAGAAAATATGATTTGATGTTTCTCTTAGTGCAACCCTATGTATTTATAGCAAAACATTACATACCAACAATTGATATTAAGAGTTACCAGTAATATGAAATCTAAAATATTATATTATACAGTTAAATTTCATGTTTACCAATTTGGGTTATTGCAATATCTTTATATTCCATCAGTATAAGGTATGAAATTTGTCTAAATATATTATAATTTCACTAATTTCACTTGGTACAATGTATTAAAATCTCCCACCTCAGTATATGTGATGTGTATGTATTTGTTAAATGACAAATGTCTTAAATATTTTTTTTTTTAGTTCATATTCCCTAAATAGCATCAAAAAATCAAAATGACCTAATATGTTTCATTAAAGGGTTAAATGAAAATGAAATAAATATGATCTGGAAAAGAAAATTTGATTTGATGTTTTCCTTAGTGACAACTTTATGTATTTATAGCAAAACATTACATACCCACAATTAATATTAAAAGTTATCTAAGAGTAACATGAAATCTAATATTATATTATATATTTAAATTTCATGTTTACCAATTTGGATTATTGCAATATCTTTATATTCCATCAGTATAATGTATGAAATTTGACTATATATATTATAATTTCACTTGGTACAATGTATTAAAATCTGCCACCTCAATATATGTGATGTTTCCGTATTTGTTAAATGACAATATGTCTTAAATATATTTTTGAGTTCATGTTCCTTAAATAGCATTCAAAAATCAAAATGACCAAATATGTTTCATTAAAGAGTTAAATGAAAACCAAATAAATATTAGTACATCAAAATAATAAAAGAAAATAAAAAATTGCTTTTTCAAAAGAAAATCAATGTTTTCAGAATATTTCAATTTTCTAGAAAATTATTTTCCTAAAATATTTTTAAAATGCATATGATATCTTCCTGGATTTGTAAAAAAAGGAAGATATTTCAAATTCAGGAATGTCTTAATAATTATGTAAATAGACTTCTTGAATGTAACTTGTATGTATATTTAAGTAGTTTTTCATAAGTGTGTATGCTATCTACCTAAATCTGATTTATATGCATGTTTAGAAAAAAAAACAATTATTCAATGTATAACATATTTGAAAATTTACAAAATGCTTTAAGTATATATAAAATATCTTGGCACTGGCAGATTCTTATACCCAAATACACAACCTAGAGCAATCCATCTATATATAACTCACTCGTTAAAAATGTAAATTTTAAAAAACCTAAGAGATAAATAAGGAAAATATCTTATTTAAAATCTTGTGAGATATTCTTTAACACTTATCATATATATCATAATTTTTTTTTAATATTTGAACAATGAGGATGATCTTACATCTAACAAGCTTATATTAGAAAGGATGAATGTCATTGGTTCAAATCATTCTTTCTACACAGTTTTTAGTGTTATTCGAATATTGTAAGTTTTTGACCATAAATTATAATATTTTAATAGATTTTTTTTCTTTTAGAAATTCATGTTAAAATTGATTTTAATTTTAAATTTTTTTTTCAGAGATGTTCCTATTAAATTAATATTATTATTATTTTGGATTATACAAAGCTTCAGATTTAGGATGATGACGTTTTACTCTTCCTTGTTGTTGATCAACCCATGGACACATTCGCTTTGATTTTTTTGTTCAAAGCTATTACATAACTCGTTGTCACTGCCTCCTTCACGCTGAATCATTTCTACTGGGATGTTTTGTTGCGGCTAGAAAGTGCAAGTAACCGAATTTTTAATCACTGTATATAGTAAACAACATGCTTTACTTGATGGGCCAGTTGCATTAGGCAATGGTAAGCTTGTGGTATAAAGGGGTTGCTCTTGCGGATCACAAGGAATAGTCAGATGTGCCACTGCAAAACATAGAGAGAGAAGGAACTTTTGGAAGCCAGAAAGTGCAAGAATCGAATATCTAATCACTGTATAATAAATATAGTCTAAAAGGTTGGTAAAAGCTTTACCTGATGGACCATTTTCATATGGCATTGGTAAACTTGAAGCACAAAGGAGTGTTGAATTAGCTGCTCATTAGGCATCTGCCACTGAACAATTGAAAAAAAAAACAGAGACATAGTCTTTGGAGATTAAAAAAGAATGTAAAAAAGTCTAATTTTCAATTACTGAGTAACAATATCAAGGTTTGTAAGGATTTACTTGATGGAACATTTGGATTAAGCATTGAAAAGCTTGCAGAGTTATGGACTTGATCATAAGGGTTTTGCGTTTGTGCAACTGCAGAAAAAGAGAGAGACATAAGGAAGTATTAGGAGGTAAAAAAAGCAAGAAACCGGACTTAAAGCATTAAGTTTAGTACCAAAGTTTTGTCATATGGCTGGATTAAGGACATGATCTTGGTGATCATAAGGATTTTGAGACTGCAACTGCAGAAAAGAGAAAGACAATATTTGGAGGTAAACAATGCAAGAAACCGAACTTTGAAACACTGATTATAGTACCAAAGCTTGTGAGGCTTTCACCTGCTTGACCATTTTCATAAGGCAATGCTGAGCTTCTAGAACTCAGTTTTCTCTTGTAAGCTACACAATGCAAAGAGAGTTCAAAAGACTGATTAGAGAGTTTTTACATGTTGATTTACCTAATGTCTCCAGAAGATGAACTCTTGCAGGATGTTGATGAAGAAGAGTCTTGACCGCAGCTGCACAAAGACAAAAACATAACCAAATCTAAGTAGATGAATCCAATATGATACAGTAAGGATGAGTGTGTGTGTGTGTGTGTGATATACGTACGTGAAGCATCACAAATATCAAGAAGACCATTCTCGAACATCCGAACAGCTTGCTTAGTCAGCATTATCACTGAACATCCTCATCTGAAGAGCCATTTGGCATCTCATGTTAAAGTAACTGAATAAAACTGGATTCTCTTTCCGAAGCTGCTTCCAAACTAAGAAGAGAGAATAAAAATCAAAACTTTATTCAGAACCCATTGATGGAATCAAATAAAGTAGCCAACTTTGCTAAATTTTTTACCTCTGTGGGTGAGAGTTTTACTAATCTGGTGATTCTTATCAAGATACTTAGCGGTTCTTTCAAAGCTCATGTAATTTTGAATACAGAGCTCAACCTTGTTCCTCACCTGAAACAGAGCAACAATAACATAGATGAAAACAGAGTATGTAAAAACAGAGTATGTCACTAGGTTTGTGATCATTACGTAGTATGAGACGTCTGAAGCGTGACATAGNATCAAGATACTTAGCGGTTCTTTCAAAGCTCATGTAATTTTGAATACAGAGCTCAACCTTGTTCCTCACCTGAAACAGAGCAACAATAACATAGATGAAAACAGAGTATGTAAAAACAGAGTATGTCACTAGGTTTGTGATCATTACGTAGTATGAGACGTCTGAAGCGTGACATAGTTTTTCCATAACTGTGGAATATATCTAAAAAAAATAGACTATCTCTTTCTCTTTGACCTAATGAAGATTTTTTCATGTCGATAAATATTCACAAACACATAAGGAAACATATCTAATTTAGTTGAAGTTTATCTCATGCTCACGAACAGAACAAAAAAAAAACAAACTAAAAATCTACAGCAAATGCTCATAGAAAATATGTCAATAATTTTTGCAGCCTACATGATTCAACCCAATGCTTTTTGATATGCATTAGAAATTTATTTCTAATAGTCAAGAAAGATATCTCAAAATGTAAATATGAAACACAATACCTAATTTTTCGTACATTTAAAACAAAATCAAAGTAATATATGTGAGAAATTCCTACATTTGCTTCAAGGGAGATAGGAGAATCTCTTTGAAGTTTCTAATTTATACAACACTCTTCACGTCAATACACAGAAACAAACAATACCTGAGTAGCCATCGGATAAAAATCATCATCTGAATGATCTCCAGACTTCTCCAATCTCTTGACCAAAGCCTTTAAAAAACAAAAAAAAAGAATCTTTCTTTTTTTTACAATTCCCCTCTCAATTCAAAACCAAGAAAAAGAACAAAGCGGATCTTGTTTTTACAATTTCCCTCAATTCAAAAAAAAAAAAGAATAAAGCTTTAACTAATACTAACCTGAAGCTCCCCTGTAAGATCTGACATCTTTCCATTCTTCACCAGAATCTTTCATGTATTACCTTCACACCCCAAAATACAAATAAGTCCAAAAGGGGTTTAAATAAATCTCCATGGCCATGTTCGAGAAACCCTAGAAGTGAACCAGACGGAAGCTCAACTTGGCTTCTTGTGGCCAAGAGAAACATCTCTGAAGAACATTACTTGGTCGCGATGCACGGAGGAGAGAGTGGTAGCAGCGTTTGATGTCATCGGAGTGGCAGATGAAACATCAGCCTTGCCTTGACGTTTCATCACAATCGCGGAATAAGAAAAGAGATCTATAAATAGAGAAATAGAGAGGAAGGTGAAAGGAATCAATTGAATGATTTCTTGAATGAGTTCAACAGAAGAGAAGATGTGGAAGTTGAAAGGTAAGAAAAGCACGAAATTAGGGATTGAAGAGGAACACGGGAAAAATGTAGCTTCCTCCCCCCTCTGTAATAAACCAATAATCAGATTAGAAAGTCGAACCGAAAATTAAACTGAGTCTTCAGCTGAGTAAACTAAACCGAAATGACATGGATTATTGTTAGAATTTATTGGCTGATTATTTTAGTTGAGGTGGCATATCTAAGAGAGCATTATTAGCCCCTTTTAATAGTGTTAGGTAAGGGTTCTGTGTTTGTGCAACTGCAGAAAAAGAGAGAGACATAAGGAGGTATTAGGAGGTAAAAAAAGCAAGAAATCGAACTTTAAAGCATTAATTTTAGTACCAAAGTTTTGTCAGGCTTTACCTGATATACAACATATGGCTGGATTAAGGACATGATCTTGGTGATCATAAGGATTTTGAGACTGCAACTGCAGAAAAGAGAAAGACAATATTTGGAGGTAAACAATGCAAGAAACCGAAC